CCAGTTCCTTAAAAGGCAGGGTTACCCTTATTCTGATCTGGTGGCTTCATGCTTGCAAAACTATCTACACGCATGCATACACAAACACCAGACCAAGAGAAATTCCGTAACCTGGCTAAGAAGCCAAACTCATGCCTACACACAAAAATTTTAGGCTCTCATCTAGCACTACCAAAAAAATCAGGGAGGCGGTGGGGAAGAGGCAGTTTTGAAAGTCACTCTCTCCCCCTCTGCTCTTTCTGTTGACTCCCAAAACATCTACAGCAAGGAGCCCTTCTGTTCCTTTCTCTAGTAAAACTGACAGGATAATGCAGAGAAGAGTTATGCAAGTGTAATTCTATCCAGGGAAGCTGCAACTCATCATTATTTGTGGAACACCATTCATTTATGAGTAATCCCCCGGGGTTCTCACAGAAAACTTATAACAATAACAAATATTCTAGATCTTCTTTTAAATCTTTTGGGATTAGACTTTCTGCTTTATGAACCCAAAACATCTCCCTTCTCAGGACAAGACTTACATCTAGATTTTAATTGTTCTATTTTCTTTTGTTTCATAGAAGGAGATTATTATTATTATTAATTATATTTCTATACCACCCATAGCCGAAGCTCTCTGGGTGGTTCACAACATTAAAGTCCCCCATCCAGATTCCAACCAGGCCTGACCCTGCTTAGCTTCCAAGATGAGGCGTGATCAGGCCCTTCAAGCTACATTGTTACAAAATGACCTGCAATTAGAATATGGGTGAACCTGCTTTTTAAAGAAATGGTTGGGCACAATATTCTTAGCATTTATTTGTGGTTGAAAAAAAAATATTAATTTGATTTACACTACTTCCCACCAAGAAAATGGTGCTCAAAGCCAACAGTAATAGCAACCATTATTTAAATTAAAAATAAAGCATAGGTAAAATAAATATACCGAAACCATTAAAAAGTAAACTATCTTAATTATAACTATAACAGAGATATATATGCCATTGTCTATTTGATGGAATACAGCTTATAATTCTCAATTCATCTAAAAACATTTTGAGTAATCATTACAATTTGATTTGGAGAAGTTTTTAGAAACCCCTGAAGTAGGAACTGTATTTCGGAAATGTGTTGGATCGAATACATATTTTAGGCACTGAGAAAATGCCTTCTTCCTTGTCCCGAGCCACATGAATCATCACCACCACATGGAAACTCTTTGAAATGGCAACTCCATGATGCCTTCTCTATGCTGGAACAGGTTCAATAAGTAATTGCCCAAGTCACTATTTTTTTCAGAACACCAGTACCGCCACCAGCACCAGCACCAGCACCAAGCACTGCTGATGTGGAGACTCTCCACATGATCCAGACCCACCACCGGAGCGGCGCTGCACTTTGCTGTGCCTGGACACCCCCATGGGGGCAGCGCACTAAGGCAGCTGGTCCAGAACTCTTCACTGCCCAATAGCAGTTCCTCCTTTTTAGAATATGGGGAAGGAAAAAATAGTCGAATTAGGGATGGGTCGTGTTTTTAAAAACATATAAATATCAAAAATATTTCTCATTTATAGCAGTTTGACCCTGTTATTTGGTACATCGAGGGGTATTCTGGGAAATGGGCTCAGCAGTGCAGCCTGAGGGAGAAGGCTGCTTGGCCCATGCCTTGCTTGACAGGAGCCGTTTTCGTGCTCTGCCCCATTGTTCAGGCTGAAGAGTGCCCTGAAACCAGGCTGTGCTCAGCTTTCAAGGAGAAGGAGTTATCAAGCCTGTTATGTAGGGGATTTGAGTTCTGCATTAGAAATGTGCAAACAGCTGTGAAGTTCCTGAAGTTAAGTGTCCACGGCCTCTATCCTGATCATGTTAGCCATGGTGAAAGCAGAACAGTAATAAGGGTGTCACAACTGAATTAAATCTCATTTCCTTCCATGGGACTTCATCATGATTAACTTTCACTGTATGGGGGCTATCAAATTATGCTAATGCAGTGCCAGCTTCAGGTTCTATGGGGCCCATGGGCCACGCACCCATGGTTCCCCCTCCCACTTCTCATCACAATATTCCTGCGAGGTAGGTTAATCTGAGACCGACAGACTAGTATGAGACCACCCAATGAGCTGCATGGCTGAATGGGGATTTGAACCCTGGTCCTAGTGCAACATTCTAACCACTACACCACCCTGGCCCTCCAAACAGAATATAATTTGCCGTATCTTGACAGGCGCAGTGTCAGCAAAGTAAATGGGACACTGACTTCAGGCAATACCAGCTGCAAGCTTTTGAGGGCCAGAGCCTCAGAGAGTCTCTCTTCACCCTCTCCTGGTGCTCCTGCTCCTCTTCTCCACCATGGGCTTGCTGGACAGGCAAAGAGCAGGGGGCAAGCAAACAAGCAGCTGCCAAGGCCAAGAGGAGGAGAAACTCCGGGAAGCTCTTGCCTTTGGGGTTAGGGTGGCAGGTGTCCAGCTATGCTGAGTACTGATGCCAGTCCTGCCTCCGTTAATCTTGCCCCCGAGTAAGTTCCCTCCTCCCTCAAGTCCATGATGACATTGCAGGATGCTCAGAACACACTTCCACAATGCCTGAGATCCTACTGAAGAGCAGTGGGAATGATTCCTAGATCATCAGTCCCACTTCTGAGCCCCTTGTGTGCTGTGGAAGCCTGGTCTACATGGTCTGCCCCGTCACATTTGATTAGGGGAAGTAGGTTCACACGCATAAAGGAGCCACACAAACTCCTGCTTCCTGCATTACCATGACCAAAGGGGCTGCTTTATGTAAATATTTTTGGAGTTTGATCTGTATGTGTGTCTGCATACCTCCATGTACACACAGGGAGAGCAGGAGAGCACGAGGCTGTAAACAGCTGATTTATTTGCCTATCTTGATGTGTTTGATGAAAATCTCTGTCCAAAGCAAAGTTTCCTTCCTTGGCGGAACACATTTCACCATGCAAGTGCCCCCTTTTCCTTTCTTCCTCCACACTTTAAAGCATGAATCTGTGTTGTAACTTGATAAAGTGCCAGTTCCCCACTGATTTTTGTTAGCCAAAAACAACTCATAAAAATCACTATGATTATATGGCTATTTGTTGTCTATAAAGGTCTAACAAGCTTTTATGCTGCCATAAGCCAGTGACATATATCTGAATTTGCTTCAACCTCACCAACCATTTTTTTCCCCTGCACTAGTTTAAAAAAAACAAAACAAAATGTCTTTTATCACAAAATATACATTATGTTTCAGACTTAACAGTAGCATTGCCAGTTGCTGTTTAAGAGTGGAAATCTGTACATGTTATCAATTCTGATTGTATCATACAAAAATAAATATTGTGATCTCGTAAGTAAAATAAACCACACTTTGTGCCAAAGTTTTTTACCCAGACTAGTAAAAATTGAACACATTAAAAATGAGTCATTCATTAATTGAAATAAGAAATTTGTCCCCAGTAGATTTGTCTGTCAAGAAGTTCTGATTAGGCCTGAAACTCCATTTTGTTTGTTGTAGACTAGTCCTACCAAAACATCACAGTAGTCTACTAATCTTCAGCTTCATATCCCCAGTTCAACAGGAGCCTAATACTCCCAATCTGCAGCACAGATTATCTTTTCTGTTTGCTTCCATCACAGGGGCAGCTCCAGAAAGGAAATGGGGATGCGCATACAGAACTGACCGAGACACTGCCATTGGGGCTGCAGCCGTAAGCCGGCTGCAATTGGAGCAGCAATATTTGCAGCATCCTCCCACGTATGTTTACTCAGAAGTAAATTCCGTTTAAACCAATGGGAAATGGTCCCAGGTAAGCATGCACTGGGTGGAAAGCCTTACAGCGCAATCCCATACGTGTCTAGTCAAAAGCAAGCTCCCATTTATTCCCTGGTAATGCGTCCGACTGCTACCTTAATCTATTGTTTAGCTACATTAAATCAATTAAAACATTTGATTGGTTAAAAGCAACCGCAACTGATCAGGCATTGAAGATCTTTTTTTCTCTAAAATGATTTTCCATCTATTGCATTAACTTTCACAAGAATGGGGCAAACTGGTTGGATCCAGACTTAGCCATGATTCATACATGCCAATGAGCCATTTTAAGTATGATTAACATCCCATTAATTTGAGTGGATCTACTCTAACTAAATCTAGATCCATCCCCATATGATCGAGAGCATCATCTAATGTGGCTCCCTCTAAGCCTCCCAACTCAGAGGATCATGGGCATCCAGTGGAGGGTGGAAAGAGAGCAGAGGAGAGAATTTCCTCCCCCTGTCTCTTTCCTTCCAAATCCCTCAGGCGGCCAGGTCCAGCCAAGTGTTTTACACTGGCAGAGGCACCACCACAATTCCTCACAAGACAACAGTACCTTGTTCCTCCCTCCCACTGGAACACTTCTTCAATGCTGGCTCCAAGGTCAGTCTTGTGACCTCGGTGCTGTAGCTGCCATGGAAATAAGCATGTTAACTGTGGCCAGAAACTCCAGGGCTTTTCTCCAAGGTTGTGGCCAGGACTCCAAGCCATCCTGTGGGTTTTAGACCATTTCTAGAAGCCATAGGATCACACTCTAACTTTGTTAAGGGCTGTCAGAAGATCTGTCAGAAGCCTGTTTTGCATAGCGGAGTTTTTTTTTTTTTTTTTTTTGAGGATCCCTGATTTTCAACGGATATTACTGTGGATGCACAATTCTAGACACAGTCCTTCACAAGCACAGAGCAACTGACTGGAGGGCAGGGTGGAATACAACAAATATTTTAAGCGACCATACCATTAAGGCCTACAAAAGGTTTCCTCCAAAGTATTTGAGTACAACTTAATTTCCCCCATTTCTTAAAAAAGGACACAGATCTGAAATATGGCTTTTGAACTAGCCAAAACAAAAAGGCATCCAAAAAAGTAAATTTAGAAATGTCACTAAAAAGTACAGTTTGAAACATATATTAAATTAAGATCATAGATGTATGCATAAATATTTTCATCCTCAATAGCTTTCCTTGGTATGTAACTGGCACTTTATCACAGGTCTTCTACGTAGCAAAGACTACCAAGAGACACATCATTATTACTGATGCACTTTGCAAGTGTCTCTGGGTGTGATTTATGGGGGTTGTCGTCGCAAATACAGCATCACTTGCATTTCTGGGCAGCGGCAGATTGCAGATGTTTCCTTCACAACACGAGGTGCAGACCTAGAAGAATAAGAGACTTGATGAAAAGTGTTACTCAGATGGACAACTTTTGCCCCAGAGGGGCTTCATGCAGCATGTACCAAGGTCAGGCACAGTTAAAATGAAAAACTACTGAAGGAAGAGGGAATATTTAGGGTTTGCATTCCTTCCTCCCCTTACATGTTCAGCCCAAGCAGAATTCGGTTTTTTAAAAGAATAAAACCCATTCTCAACAGAAGCGTCTCAATGTAATGTGTTATTAGCCCCTAGGCAAACTATCTGTGGGTGAAATATCACATAAAAATGGCCACAGCATATGCTGGGCAGTAGGAGGAATTGCATGTTATTGGCATGGGCTACAAATATTAATGACATGTTAAAAATGCAGATGGAAAATAGCACAATGCCATTATAATAAATTACAAGCAAAATGGCTTCAAATGCAGAGGGCGCCCTCCTCCCCAAAGCGCTCATGTGCACTGTAAAAAGATCTGCCCATGTTGCTCGCCTTTCATCTTGTACAGCCATCATTTTGATTCCCGGGGAGATGGGAAAAAGTTTCCCTTTCACTCGCTTTCCCTCATCATTTATATTCTCAACAGATTTCTAGCATCTTTACAGCAGAGGTGAAGAATCCAACTTGACAGAAACATCCAAACAGAGCTAGGAATGAAATTCTGTTTCAAGAAAAAGGTTCTTGCATGGATTTGCTTAAAATCCACATGGCTGTTGGTTTGGAAGCCCATCTCCCACCGCTTTAGATGGCCCAAGCCTAGTCTGGCTGTTGCTCACAAGCCTCCCCAACTCTTGCTGCACCAAGGCCTCATGCCGTTCTAGCAGGTTCTTCCCCTCCACATTTTTAGCCAGCCTGTTCAAATTAGGGTCAATCCTGTACTTTCTCGTTCAGCCTTGCACAGGGACACCAGCCCAGCCTTGGAAAGGCCTTTGAGCCAAACATCCACAGACTGGCCTTGGTCGTATCATGTTGCTGCTGAGACTAGCCTTACTCACAACTTCCATAAAAGTTCAACAGCAGAGGAGGGCAATTTAAAGTCTTCCAAATGTTTTGGCATACAATCCCCATTAGCCCAAGCTTGCATAGCCAGTGGTGAGGCATGATGGGAACTGTAGGCCAAAACATCAGGGGCCCACCCTGCTCTACAGAATCCAGGTAAACTCATAGTTAAGAATCGAGCACTTTTAAAACATAAAATACTGTGTGCACATGTGAGTGTGTATCTGAGTAGACATACATTTATCTTATGTAGCAAATCATGTTTGAAAAGGGGGGACTTTGAAAAGCAGATTGTTATGTGGCACTGAGGCCTACAATTTAAAAAAAAATCCCACTGGGTAGGTCTGCCTGTCTGTCTGGAAAATTCCATTCAGTGCCTCCTCCCACTTCATCCCCATGGAACGCATTAGCTTGCCTCAAGCAGGTTCCTCAATCAGACCCATGGTGTTACATGAAGAGGCCAATTTGGCTAACCAAAGCTCATATGTTATTGTATCGCCTAGACTTTACAAAACTGGTAAGAAAAATATGTGCTTCATTTCAAAATCTTTGTCAAATTGTGAAAGGAATGCAAAGTTCAAGCTTCTGTAAACTTGGGAAGAAATGTAAAATTACTCAAAAATTCCACAGAAAGTTTTCCTGATATCCAGATTTTTACTTTAACTAAGACAAACCCATTCTACTCAATTACAAAGCAACAAAAATAAAATGATGTAAATAAATGGCAATATCATATTTATTATTAGGTTTGTATAAAAGCCACCCGTTAGCATTGTGCTCTCTGGGCGGCCAATTGCACATGAAAACACAACTTGTATGTAAAAGAATGGCTGCACTTTGGAGTGAACTTACACCAGTGAACATATATTCTACTTTTTACCTTCAGTCCTTTATGTTGGAGATCTATGCATCCTGTAGACAAACAATCCTCTAGTGGCACACATCTCTTGGTGACAGATACGCTCTTGCCATTGGCTTCCAATGTATGTTGAGTATAGCAGTATCTTGTAGCTATCAAGAAAGACAGAGAAACATATTTCTGCATCCACCCTTCCAGCTAAACACTGGAAGAAAAAGCTAGAATCTTGGGAAACTTCTGCACACGTTTGCCTTTTCCCTCGCACTCATCTTTCAATGCTCACCTTTACAAAATTAGTACAATGCTGGACTTTTAATTATTTTCCTAAATAAAATTGACATTACTTTTGTAGGGGAAAAAGGCATCTGGACATAGTGAAGTATAGTCTAATGCTTTCAGATTTGTTACTGTGAAGTCACCTGCTCATGAACTGTATCCCATTATGTTCTGAATTCCACTTTGGAACACATCAGAAGAATTTCTGTCCACATCTAAGACATACGGAGCCTTTAGCACCCTTTGCTAAAGATGACAAACAATGACCTCCAAAATAAATTATGCCATATTCAACGGCACAACTGAATTAGGGGGAGTGACCACTAGTCCCATGGAAAGCTAATACTTGCTACAGAATACTGGAAACTTGCACAAACTAGCATTTCCAGAGCAGGGCAAGCTCATGCACAGGCATTCCACTGACTTATCACTTTCCAGAAACGCTAGTCTGGACTAGTCTCCGGGACTGCTGTGGCAAGCACTAGCTCCCATTATGCTTTTGCTCATTCCTGCTAGTGTATCCTGATGAGCAGTGATGGACTGCCGGTGGTGAATACTGCCCACTGTTTTCTGTATATTTTGATTAATTTAATGGCTAAATAAACTGCACTAAGTGAATAAAATGTTATCCAAGATCTGCACATCTAAGCAGATCTTGGGGCCTTTGTGGAGAAGATAAAAGATGGATTAGATTTTCCACCTGGTCAGTTCCAGCCTTCAAATCCCATGTTTTGTAAATATACAGCCATCACACTGTGACTAAAATGCAAGACCCCAGATATTCTTCAAAGTAGATAAAACAAAGGAGCTTTGGTACAAACCTAACAACAGCAAGTGTATCTCAGCTAGATCATCAAAAGCAGGTAGCTTATAAAGCTACACTAATGAATTCAGGGGAGTAATGGAAACATGAGTTCAAAACTGTAAACTGTCATGCAGCCTAATTAGTTGCTCTGCTTTAATGTCCTAATTTATGTCTCTTTGAAGCTGGGGAACATTTTCAGAAGTTATTGCTGCCGTTCACTTTGTTGTCTTTTATTGAACAGCCCCTTCTAATATAGAGAATTCTGCCGCTACCACAAACTATTGTTTCTCACCCAGCAGAAGGAAGCAGCTCTGTATCAGGTAAGGCCCAATAAAGTTCATGAGCTCAGCAGTGGGCAGTACTTCTGGCAGAGCCTGGGAATAAGAAGATTTTAAGCAACCTGGCAGAACTCTTCCTTCCAACAAACGTCCTCCATGGAGGAGAAAACAGGACATGCTGCCTGCCTTCCCAACTGGGTTTCCAACACAGTGCCTCACATTCCTTCCTCTGTACTGACTTCCAAGTTATTTGGAACTGGACAAAAACAAAAAACTGGGAACTTTATTAGATATATATATGTGCACATGTATGTGTGCATTTGCATGATATATCCATACAGAGAGACAAATAACAGCATCCTTTCAAAATAAATTTCGTGATAAATGTTTTAGCTTCCTCCCTCATCAGCAGCTGATAATTTTGGAAGAATCTGGAATATGTGAAATGAAAATTCTTAGGAAGGAAAAGGCAGAGGTGCCAGCTTATGAGTTATCCTCCAGGTTAAAGCCATGCAGATTAACTGTCCTGAGTCCATAGATTCAGAAGGTCTCCTTTCTGTGAAACATGTCAGTGCCTTTAGTTTCTTCATGTGGAAGTAATTTTAAGCCTACAAGACTATGGGCAGGTGAGTTAGAAAGTCTAACCATGGTTATGCATTCTAGTTATACACATGCACCTTAACCAGACATGTCTGGTAGCTTTTAAAAATATGAAATACCCCTAAGTAGATGTATTCCTTGAAATAAATGGTTTCAGAGGAATACAAGCCACCTCATCCTAATCAGTGAAACTGCAACAATGCTTGGGATCCATGAATCCATAATGGAGAGATCATGATGGCACCTACTCAGGCAAGTGCTGGTCAAGAACGACTAAAGTTGCTGACAACTGCCCCAAAATTCTGGCCGAATAGGATGCCGAAGCAGCGCTCCCCTCGTGTTCCCCAGTGACTGTGCAGCTTCTCCTGGTTCCATGGACAGACAGGTAGACCTCTCACCTCCCCAACAACCTCAGGCCTTGTCAGGTCTCTGCAAATACTGCGCGTATGATGCTGCCTTGCAACTCCAGCAAGCCATGCATGGGCACATTTCCAAATCCAAAAGGGAGCACTGAAGGTTATCCTGCTCTGGAACACACGTCCATGGTCTGCCACATGCCTGGATGAAGTGCGCATGCACAGCACTATCCGGGTCTCTAGGCAGGATACGACCTGCACGCTGCAGATGAGGCCCTCCCTGTTCTCTGGGTAACAGGTTAGGGTCAAGGTTAGGGCTTGGGCATGTTGTGAAATTCATCTCTATGATGGACACGCACAGCGGCCACATCAAGCTTGCTTACCTCTTGGGCAATAGATATCTGGAGCCCACTGGTTGCATTCATAGTTGTCTACCGCTTGTTCACAGGTGAAACATTTGAATCCGCCAGGGTATGGAGTGGCTGAAAATGTGAAGGGAACGATGAAATCAGCCTATCAATCCATCTGGAGCATTTGTTTTTAAAGCACATGTTCTCTCTCTCTCTCTCTCTCTCATACACACACACACACTCACACACACATGGAGGGAGGGAGGGAACTGGTTGTATTTGATTTTCACAGTTATACAAAAGCTGAATGTTAATTGTGCAGTGAGTGGAGTTGCAGCTTTTGTCTCCACATTTAACTTCAAAAACCTTTGAATTTTTAAAAACCTGTCTAGTCAAAACAAGAGTGGTTTAAAGCTAACACACAATTTGTCTGAAAGGAAATACTATGTATTATTGTGGGTTGTGCCTTAAGGGACTAGTTTAGATAATAACCAAAATGCTGACTGGACTATGATATGGAGACATATTGGCTGTTTCCTGCAGTATCAAAACCAGTCCTAAATTCTGTGGTTCAGACATAAGCTATATTCACAAAACATCTACATATACAAGCTCTGTTTCTCAAGCAAAGGTCTCACAAAATCTCCATCTACATTAGTACTTTTCCAGGAACACTGGTCACTATGCAACAATTGAGATAATGCTTTTCCTTCCAAGAAACGCCTGAATTCAAGAACAGACATTTGCTTCTGCATTCTCTAGAAGACATTGCAAATGGAATAACTGCAGAAAATTGCATGCTATTTTCAGTGACTGTTTGTTGGCAAGCAGCCTGTATCAATTTCATATGTGGTACCAAAATTTCTAGTTTGCATGATGACTTAGACCTTGGAACGCTGTGATAACTCATTCTTATGTTCAGAAAACAAACCTGTATCTTCCAAAAGAAAGAGGGAAAGATGATCATGTATTGTATGCCAGGTCTGATAAATAGTGACTAGGTTCTCCATTACCTACAAATTTATATAGGGGTAGGGCTTTAGCACCAAGCTATTTGAACCCTGTTTTACCACCTCTTAGTGCACCTCTGCACAGCTGGTTCTCTATGTATCATGTTTTTGCATTTGAATGAGATACAGGGATTGTTTGAACATGGTGAATTCGGTATCAGTCCAAAGGGACTGATTAAGATGCCATATAATTTCTGATCACAAAAGCTTGGTAGCAGCAAGCAACAGATGTTGCAGACATATTTTTACAGCTCAGAGGTGACACTGGAATCCCAAGAATCCTACAGATATGCAAAAACATGAGAGCCAAAGTACAAAAGAACTGGAAACAAATAAAAAGATCCCACATGTATCTGTGGCAGGGGATTCAACTACTGACAGACTTGTTGCTAACCTTCGTGGATTAATGGTTTCAGAGTAAAAGGGCAAAGTAAGTACATGCCAAACAGATGCATCTTGACATTGTGAAAACAGTTTACCAAACCTATGGAGAATACTAACATGCAGATAGAGAAACTGGTGGTTACGAATATGAGTTCTGAGTTGGAAACCTAAGGTTTAAGCGCTGCTCAGAAGCATTCGATGAATTATTCCTCAGCCTTAGGAACTTAAGATAACCTATGCTAGATTTGATTAAGGGTCATTGTAGTCCAGCATTCTGTTCGCAGTAGCCAGCCAGCTGCTACAGCAAAAACCCACAAGCACAACCTGAGTGCAACAGCACTCTCCTTTCCCAATAAGAGGATGCTGCTGCCATGCCTGATGAAACTGTTGTAAGGATTAGAGATAACATATGTCATGCGCTTTCCTGACATAGGAGGAACCTATCTTGGGATCTACCATGAAGGGACTTCACAGATTTTAAAGGAAATAAATGGTCTCGTTTGAAATGTGATCAACTCCAGTAGGTAGAAATAGAGAAAACCATTCAAATCCTCTTAGTATTTCACAGATTATAGGAAGCATACTTGCTACTGAAGTATTTAATACAGTTATCGCAGGAAACCTTGCACTACTGCTGATTGTTCCAATATCTTCTCTTGATGCCTATTTATTATGTTATTCCAAATTGCTTTCCCAGCCCTGTCTGTATTTTTACTTAAAAGCATCATGACACAGTTTTACCACAAACTGCGCAGAAACCTACTCAAGAGAAAACTGTATGCCACCGTCTTCAGTTCTTCCAGGATACTTGAACTAAGCCAAATATACGTGTTTGAGAGCTAAGCTAACATAGCCACCGTATGAGGCAACAACTCTTGTGTTGAGAGAGCAAATGACTCCCATTGTTAGGACCCCCCATGAAGACCCCTCCTATCTTTGAACAACACACACACCCCTTTCTCACACACAAATGCTGTGAGAGATTGTGAACTTTCGTGGGGGCTGGTTCTTTCCTCACTTATTTATTTAAAGACCGGTACTGAAAAGGAAGGTTCAAAGCATAGCAGCTACAACTGTGAGAGACTCTCGTTTGGCTCACGATCAGAGAAGTTAATAAGCCTGATAGACTGTGGTTCGGGGCACAAGGCCACAGTCCCCTTAAGAGGACTATTCTAAAGGAAATTAAAAGAAACTGCCCAGTGCCCAGAAATTGCCGGTAACTATATCTGGCCATTAACTCTCTTGGTCAATAGCAATGCACCTTCTATATCAAACTGTAAGAAAATAGGACAGATAATCTTCGTTTTTCTTTGTACCAAATACAACTAAAAATTAAAGTTGAGAAGAAGAAAAGAAAAGCAAAAAAGAAAAGAAAAGGAGGTTGCTTGTAGTTGTGCAAAGCTGTTTTTACTGTATTTTAAAACCACTCTGAAGATGAAAGCCTGCCTTTAATGTGCATATTTCATACTGCATGGGAGAGCTGTGCATAACTTAGGAGAAAAGAAAGAGGAAACATGGAAGAACGAATGGTATGGTGGCGAGAGAGAGAGAGAGAGAGAGAGAGAGAGAGAGAGAGAGAGAGAGAGAGAAAATCATTCATATTACCTGCAGCATTTACATTATTTTTGTGCAGCAATTTGCTTTTCCTATTCCTTAGAAGTTCATTTTGTTTCTTTGGGATAACTCTGGGACGGGTAGGTTGCCTAGTCAAACTAATATATAGAATGCAGGTACATTAATGCCTTTTGCTTCTCTAAAATAAGTACAAAAGACCCTATATCCGGTTCAGTGAGCTTTAATCCTTCCTCCCACTGTGGCCCCACTCTGGATTGTGATGCCTGCACCAGCCAATTGCTCTGGAAACAATCTTCCAACAACAAACTGAACTGCATCAAGACATTTTTTCCAAATAAAGTTGTTGATTCAGGAACCTGACTGGGACTATGGCAAGGGACAAAGATTCAAAGCACCTTGCTATTTCCCACATGAGGGTTCCCATCCAGATCAGATCCCTTCCAGATAGTTCTTAAACAAGGGGTTGTAAGCCGTCCTGAGATGTTAAACATAAAGGATGGGATATAAAAGTTTTAAATAAATAAATACTGTGCAAGCTGGATACTATGCATTAAAGTGCAGTTTGAATCCGAAAACACAGAAATGGTTAATCATATAACCAGGCTTCAGTCCACCCATGTCATTTGTGTGAGTGTGGCTATTTCCTCACTATACAGACTACTGAAATTAAAAGTGCAATCTGCGCAATTGTGTAATCTGTAGAGGAAGAAAAAGGAGACTAGGAATGCTCAAACAGTAGCTTCATCTCATAAGCAAGAGCCCACAGTGGAATCTACTCATATCTCAATCTTTATAAAATAGGAATGGACTACAAGTTAACCACCCCCGTTGCAGAAGAAGAATATATTAAATAAAGGCCATGGTCAGAATAGAATCCGAAACCATTGCTTAGCACTACATGAAGCCTAAGGTTCACCCACTTCCCCATAACCTCTTATCTTCCAACATACATCTGGTTTCTGTTTTTACTTAACAGCAGTTTACTGTTACATCCCTAATATGATAAACAATTGTCTGTTTTAACTGTGGTTTATTGAAATAAACTAGGACCAAAACATATTTTATAATGTTAACTAATTTAAATTAACCAGAATCTATTACCTAACAGAAGCTAAGTCTTCTAACAGCCTAATTTTAGAAAGCCAATTGTTTTCTGCAAAGGCTAAGCTACTCACACTATCAGCTACTTCTGCACTTTGAGCATTAGTCTGTCTCCTTTCCATTGGTCCTGGTACAGGAACGGGACATCTGATTATATTATGCTACTCCACGAGTCTTACTTGAAGGATGAAGATAGACAATATCTTTCACTGTAAAGTCTCGGGCTTGGATTCCCTTCAGGCTATCGGCAATCAAGTTAAGGAGCAGAAGCCAGGCCAGCATAGGCCAAGATTCCATTGCAGAGGGGGAGCCTCAAGCATGCAGATTTCTTGAGAAAGCTCTCTCCTTGTATCCCGAAGATATATGCACCTAAAAGGACACAAAGAAAAAAGGCGAGTAAACGCAACAGCTAAATTCCACACCTGCACAAAACCCAAGGTGTGCAGCATGAATGAAAAAAGAAGACTGATTGTTACTCCTGGACAAGAAGTACTATCCATGGCAGAGTCCAAAGAATTTTGGATCTGTTTATTTCTGCCTTTGTTTGAACTATGTGCATATCACTCCACATCTGAGCAGATTCCAGAGCAGTGAACAGCATGACATAAGACTGTATGTCCCATATCTTATAATCCAAAATATACTCCAAAACCTGACTGGAGGGACAGAATATTTAATTATGGTCTTCCTTCCTTCCTTCCTTCTTTCTAAGGCAGAGCATATTCTTTCCAGATCCAATTGTTCAGCTCTGTAAGAGCAGCCTTGGGAAACCTAGGACCTTTCAGGTATCATTGGACCACAATTCCCATAATCCCTGACCTCTAGCTATGTTGGCTGTGGCTGGTGGGAGTTGGGAGTCTGTACCTGGAGCTTCCTCATTCCTGTGTTCAAGAACCTTGGGTAGCAATGCTAATGAGGTCTTCACATAGCATCTGAAGCTGTTGCTCAGAAAGGTCAGCCCACTGCTGGGACTGATGCAACACGGCATGGTCTTAAGGCCACCACACAAGCTATTTCCCCAGTACACATCTGGGCTGTGTTCATCTATTTTATAATATATGTACACACTGGGAAACTGCCACTGAAAAGGTGTACCTCAAGTATGTACCTCTAGTGTACACCTTCTCCCCATTCTATCATACTGGGATATACCAAATTGAGGGAAATTACATGTAGAAAGCATTCCTCACTGCAAAGTAAATTCAAGGCTTCCCTGGACTTCAAATTTGTATTTCACTTGTATTTCATCAGCAATAACACAAGAACATAGAGTCTCTGATCAGTACAAATGCCTGTGTTCTGTCCAGAGCAGTTATAAAACTACCCACCACGATGCTCAATGTAAAAGCTACAGTCGGGACTCCAGATTGGAGCCAAAACCTGTGACTCTGGGTAAGTGACAAAGGATGTAAGCCTAGAAGATGTGGCAAAAGTCTGTGCGACCTTGTGTTTGTTAAGGAGAGTCCCACAGTCCACCAAGACCTATAGCCTTAAAAATACTGGCTGTTCCCCCACACCCCTTTAATCATTAGAGATTATTACTGGACAATTGCCAGTGATAGCTAAGAAAAAGTAAGATTAAATACTGTGCTTTTGTCACCTTGCCGTGAACAGGAGTCAACATGCTGCTTCACACCATTTGAACACAAATGGGCCTTTGCACACGATCCCTTACTACCAAGTCCTGGTAAGAGTGAAAACACCTTTGTTCTAAAAGTGAGTTATGAGCAATCCTAATTAAGCACCACATGGACTCAGTTCATATGTAGCAGCTCACGAGTGAAGCATTTATTTTTCTTCTTCAAACCCAAGTTGTCTAACAAGTGGGGGCTACGGACATAACAGACCAGCTATACTGATGCTCATACTGAACTCATTAGTGAGAATTCCTGGAACAGACAATTTTCATTGACTTTGCAATGACTTTTCAATCCTCATTTCTATTGGGAGGATGGTCTCCAGATCACTCCAACCAAATTGAACATGGAAAGCAGTGAGAAATACATATAGGAAGCAATGATCAGGAGCTATCTAGGGTTGTGAATCATAAAGCTGAACTACCTTAAGATATTTTTCTTAATAAGGAACTGAAAAAACTGTCTCAGTATAACTTATTTCTTGTGATATATATTTTAGAAGCCACTAAATAACAACCAAAGAACACTGAAAAGTTATTTCTAGATACTGTGTACACACACAGGTCTAAATGAAATGTATGTATGTATATAACAGAATTTGCCAGATGACTGAATTACTCCAAATTACCCTGTGCATCAAAATGAAGCAAATTTGTTATTCTGAATGGGTGGGATTCCATCACTGTATATATTGCCTGGAATTATATCAACCAACCACTGGACTATAAATTATACTCCTTGAGCACTCATTTCACTAAAATTCCTTCAACACTTCCACCATTTTTAGCACTGCACATTCCTGATATTCAAAAGCAGAAAAAATACAAGGTGGAGCCTTCTCTCCACCATTCTTAAAGTAACCTATTCATTATTACACATCCAGTGTTCCTCCAATATCAAAGAGGCTCTCTGAAGTGTTTTTTCTGGAACAATTTAAGGTTTTAATTGTAGTCTACATCTACCGTCTCTCACATATCGTGTCTGAGAAAAGATGCAATGCAGATGAGATGGCATACTCTACACTCCCATCATAATTACATTCACACCTCAAAAATTGCCCTTCTGTAGGAACACACACACCCTATACATAATGTGTCTGCTCTACCAAAATCTCCATGCCATTGTCTGCACTGTGTCCCTCATTGTGTATCCTATCCAATACCAGCATCACAGAGCCATGGATAGCACACAAAATCTCACTCTTTCCTTTCTCCTCCATCGGCTGCATGTGTGGGGAGGGAGTTCCAAAGAGGGCTTCCATGACAGCTTGAGGGGCACCACAGTGGCACGATCAGGTGTCTCTCTCCCCTAGTCTGCCAGAAGGGGCTGGTGTTTTGCAGGGTTAACAAGCACTTCACTTCCACCCTCTTACCCACTGGCAGCCATTGCCCTTCTCATCAATAAAAGGTAGCCACAAAGGGTGTGCTTTCGTCTAAGTAGCCCCTGCCCTGAGTCCTCTGCTGGCCTCATGCTCCCTCCGCATAATGGCAGAAAGAGCAGCAGAAGCAGAGCAGATGCAAGCCATTTAGAAATTTCTCTTTCTAAGCAACAGCATCTGTGCAGACCAGGAGGGGGATGGTCAAAAGAATGCCAGAAGGAGGATACCCATCCCACCTTTATTAAAGGTTTCAGTGTCAACACTTAACCAACAGACAAGTCAAATTAGAATTCAACAGACACAAAGCAGCTCAGGCATAAGCCACAGCTCACCTGAATGCAAAAGCACACCTGTTAGGCCCCAACATGCCATCTGGGCTTCCCAAGGAGTAAGGCAGCATGGCACCTGTGGCCACTACCGCATCCTAAGGCACCTTTCTTGATGCATCCCTTCGAAGCCAGGTGAGGGCTTCTGCTGGTCCCCTCTTCTCTTCCCATGACTGTCTCCGCATCACATAGGAGGCTCAGAGACATTCCTAAGAAATAAAAGCAACAGGTGGCAGCTGACTGATGAACCCATTTTGTGGTCCTACCCTGGGCAGTTTCCCAAATTTCCAAATGGGTTCATAGGCCATAAAAGCTTGCATACACCAGCTCTATGAGGTCAAAAAATTAGGAAAGAAGGCCCTGCCACCAAAAGATGGAGATGCAGCTGTAAGCATGTTAGGACCACCATATAAAATGGAAAAAGATATTTCCGAATTTGGGGGTTTGCACTACCACCATAAAAATAGCTGGGCCACCCTGGATTTTACATAGTAGAAAGCGTGGAATGATATTCTTAAGTCGTGCTTTTCCGTCAGTTTAGAAACCATCTTAACAATGGTACTGTGGGTGGCATACAAGGTAAAACGGTGGCAAAATTAAAAAGCATGGTGTATATAACAACTTTTATTCACATGAACAAAAGTTACAGGCTGAAGAGTACAAAAGCACCAGAGTCATCGTGCATGTTATTGCAGGAGTTCATTCTACTAATGCTATTGGTCCAGGTTCAAAGAGGCAGGCACAATCCAGTGGAAAACATGAACTCATTGTGTGTCATCGTTGCCCATCAAGCTGGTGTTTTTGTTTCACAAGTGGATTTCTACAGCCCAAGTAAACAAGAAAAACGAATATAACCAGCATCTTGTCACCAAGCCCCTCTTTACAGCTGTGCTGTAAAAGCTCAGGAGGGCATAAAACCAAGAACTGGAGATAAAAGGCAGATCAAAAGAGCAAGCTGCAGAATCTCAAGGGAGAGCAGAGGGAGCAGTAAATACATTAAAACTGCCCTAAGGCAGAGCTATTCTAATATACTGTATGCATATTACTACCAGATCCCCAAAAAAGCCCAGCAGACAAGTCATCTGGGTCTTAGTCACAGCTGCGATCAGACTGAAAGCACATTTACATACTTAACTACAGAAGGTTATCAATTTGCAATTCATATTTGCAAGACAGATTCTTTTTATGGAAGAAATAAAGCGAGAATCAGTGGAGAGTAATAAAACGGGGGGTTACCAGACTCCAGTGCTTCATTCCATATGATTTTGATATTTTACCCCAAGGAAGTGCTGTCAGAAAGCACATGTTTCTTTATACAGTGCCAGGAGGTCAAAAAAAAACAACCCAAGCAAAACAAAAATAAGTGCGTAAGTAGTGCCTTAATACTGTTATTAACTGAAGCAATTAAAGAAAGGGAGGCTAAAGAGCCTAAGAGCCTAGGAAGAGCTCTGCTCGACCAGCCCAAGGACCCTCTAGTCCAGCATTCAGTCCCCACAGTGGCCAACCACCTGCCCACGGGAAACCCATAAATCGGACATTAAAGTAACAGCACCCACCTGTCCATGACAGTTTAGGCATCATATCGCTATCAAGACTTGAAATCATCGATAGCCTTATCCTTCATGAATTCATCCAATCCCTTTTTAAAGTCATCCAGATGGGTGGCCATCACTGCTTCTCATGGAAATGAGTTCCACAGCTCAACTATGTAGTTGGTGAAGCAGTACGCCCTTTTATCTGTCCTAAATCTCCCATCAATCAATTCCATAGGGTGACCTGACTGGGTCCTAGTAATACCAGAAAGGGAAAAAATTATCTCCCTTGTATACTTCCTCCACATCATGCCTACATTTGCACACCTCTATCATGTCTTCTACAAATGCGTTTTCCAAATTAAACAATCCCAGATGTGCAACCCTTCCTTGCAGAGCACTTGCTCTAGCCCCTTGATCACTG